GACAAAATCTTAAAAACTACTGAAAAGTTTTATATTGGCAGATAGGTCTAATGCAGATCGGATACCAAAAGGTCAAAATGTCGGATCTGAGGATATTCCAAATTCCAAATATATCTTGGGACGAAATAACATCTTCCCTCTCAGAAAAAAAAAGATCCTCAGGAAATGACGGTATAGTTATTGAGGCGATTAAGAAATGGAGTGACACTTAACTACGTGCTATCCATAGGTGAACTTTTTAACACAAGTCTTCTCAGAAGTATTACAATGCTGCTGTAACAAACATCATGCGCAAAAAAGCTGATTTTGCTGTATGGAAAAACTATCGACACATAAGGCTTAGTTCACAAAAGTCATTACAAAAAGACAGAATAAACTCGAAAACTGCCAACTGTTACGATAAATTTATCATTTTCGTAACATGTTCCATTTCTTCTAATTTTCATTATAAAGTTGTATTTCCGCCATTTCAGAATCAGCAAAATAATTGCTTAAAACTCAAGTAATTTGAAAAGTATCTACTAAGTTTATTTAATTCAATATAATATCAGTATTGCCACCTAAAAATGCAAATATCTGTTACTAATAAAAGTACTAACGTACCGCCATCTACTACCTAATAAGTTTATTTAAAAATTGTGGTAGGTTTCTTTAACTATTTTTCTTATTTTTCATTGATATTATTATTTCAAGTAATTATATACAGGGTGTCCGGAAAGTCAACGATAATACTTCTCAGTATTATCGTTGACTTTCCCTGTATATCTTGCTTTCAGAAATTAAATATATTTCTGTCTTTCTCTAAATTGTGATTCTGAAATAATTATTTTTAACTTGGTGACCTAATTAATTAGTGGTTTTGTGTTTTTAACATAACCTTAATTTAAATAAAGAGTGAAGGCTTTCACGGCCGATCAAATCTAGTAAAAAAGTTTTAGTCATCGGAGGAACACGAAAGAGAACACTTCGTCCTCTACCACACCGCCTCTGAAGATGTCTACCGCAGCAGTGGACGAAACCATAGGTAGAAATACTAATGGATTAATGGACCACGGCATCATAGCCCGGAAAAAACTTTTTTACCTAATTTAAATCATTACAATTTATAAACAATTTAAATAATTCTAGTGTGTTTTTATCTATCTCATTTCGTGGTGTTTTATTAATGAAGTGAACACGGTATTTTTGTGTGTTGAGTGTTGTTTTCTGATTGGTCGAATGGTCACAATGCATTAAGTATAAAAAAAAAACAGGACTGGTTTTCCTAAAGGGAATTGGGTTCTAAAAATGCCTCTTTTCTGGCAGCTAGTTGAACAGGCAAGTCGAGTTTAATTTTTTTAATACTTCATTTTAAAATTTCTAGATTTTGCCTTGATATTTTTAAATTTATTTCACCCTCAGTTTATACTATCACTGTTGGGTTTTTATTACCTGATATCTTATCTCATCTACCTTGAAAATATAAATATTATATTTTAATTTTTTATCTATTGTGAACCTCCATTTTGTGTGGTACCACATTTTTTTGAGGAGAGTCAATTCAAAGTTTTGGCTGATAAATAGGTATTGCTGCTTTGGTATTTGGATTTAATTGTTAGTGTGGGACTAATGGACCATTTTCTCCTAATAGAGTAGGTGACAAACCAAATTTGTGTGTCCATCCCTATTAACACATTACTGAATCCAGGCAGAAACCTATCTAGATCTAGTCATTTATTGTTTGACTCTCTCATTATCTTCTCAAGAAGGAGAGTGCTGAAAGCGTGAAGTTTTAAGAAATAAATCTAGATAGGTTGAAAATTAATTTTAAAAGTTTCAATCAAAACATCTCATAATTTTGACAGTTCTTTGGACATAATTTATTTCACCCTCAGTTTTATCTTGTAATACATATAGTAGGTACCTTAACTTAAAAGGAAAATTTATCTATTTGGGGAAAATCTACTTTTTTTTTTATCTTGTTCAATTTTTCCTACATTCTTTTTCTTTTAATTGTATGTTCAACGCCACGGCTCGAGAAGCAGCATTCTGCTCAATGTTAACGAGCATATATTTTTAATCTTGCTGTACTTACTTACCTACTTAATAATTGCTACTCTATTTTACATATTTTTTTTTTTTTTTAATTATTTAAATGTTTTTCTATAAAAATAATGTTCCAATTTGCAATAGTTGCTCATACCTGATTCTGTTGGGAAGGAATGTCTACACAACAATGAGCTAATTTCCTTTTAATTTTTTCTCTTCAAGATACTCACTTTTTAACAGAATTTAGGAATTTAATATTCCAAACCTTGGGTGAACCTGATACTGCTTTATTCTTTTCTGGGTACCTATTCCACATAAAAGATTACATTTTGGAGTCTGGATCAGCTGGAGTGACGTCAAACCAGCAATTTATCCTTTTGCCTGAATATAGGAAACAACCCGAAAAGCTTCCGTTCACGGAAGTGAAACTTCAAGCTCCGGATTGGAAAGGTACGTACTGTATCAGATTCACCAGAAAAAGTAAATGTCGAGCTAAATGTTCATCCTAATCTCAAAATTTTCAGAATAAATTCAATATATTGTTACACACTTACATTGTGAAAAGAAAATTATTGTTTGTTGGAACGAGTGGTTTCATTTGCAGATAAAGGGGCTTATTATTATTTTTGGATTCCACCGCCCTTTAGGTTCTCTTGCTCTAAATTACGAATAATTAAATTTATTCGTAACACAACCAAGAGTGCAAGCCAGTTTCCGGCGTGATTACGTAACCACTTTGAATGAAAACTTCAATTGAGAAATGTATCGAATACAATAAACTTTAAATTCTACCAATTGTCGAAGGATAGTACAGCTTACTAGGGAAATTTTCCGAAATTTCAAAGAAATCCTTCGATCGGCCATTTAAATATGTTCAATAGGAGTATCCGATCAGCAGGTTGGGTGTATCTGTGAAAAATAAAATTTCAAATGCAGAAATAAGAAGAACAACTGGTGTCAAGTTGATATCAGAAGGATATCATTAAAATGGAAGTGGGCGAAGCATGTTGCCAGAATAACTTATGAGCCATGGAAGTCTTTCAAAACGACCGAAACGGAGGACGACCACCGACAAAAAGGTTGGATGATGTAAGACGTATCATACTGAACTGAATACAAATGGCACAAAGCAGAATTGAGTGGCATCATTTACGAGAGTCCTACGTTTATATTAGCAGTGGACATATAGATGCTGATGATGCTGATGCCGTAAAGATTTCAAGGAATGGTGCAAAAGATGTGTAAAAAGCCTATACCGCAGAGATGAGAAAGAGGTATCTCATGGTTGCTATGGACTATTATTCAAAGTAGTCAGAAGAAGTTCCAATCCCCAATCAAGAACAGGTTATAGCATTAGTGGAAATTACCATAGCATAGCCAGACCCGAGGTAGACCTTCAACCGATCAGGACAGGAATTTTGTATCTAAAGTAAGAAAACGGCTAATGAGGTTACCGGAAATTAGGAAAACGAGAGCGACTCTACTTCATCCAAATTCTGACAGAATAATTGAGAGGCCCAACTGGACCATGAATCATGATCTGTCGATTGTGGAGGAACACAAGCGAGATTAGAATAAATCGGTGCCTCTTTTCCTTTCGGCTCATAGAAATTTCCTGCACCAAGCATTAAACCATCAATGCTGTTGACAGACAAACAGCCGAGGAAGACGAAGCTGTACTTCCAGTTATGTGGTTAATATCCTGGCTTAGACTAATTCAGATTTCGTCAGAAATATATATACTACGTTTGAGCATTGAATAAACATGAGACTCGATAAGCGGCGACCATTAAACACCTTTAATGAAGGCGTCGCCGTTTGATTGTATCAACTATAGTGATGTAGAAGAACTAAGCCTGAAATTATAGAGACCGTTGGAAGGACCATACAACAAGACTTGAGTGAAGAGGAATCATTTTTAGGTCCTTCACATAGAAAAACTAGGAGAGATAGCATTTGAGCCCGTATGTCAGATGGATTGATGAAGAAACATTCTAGCCGCCGAATTCTTGATCGACGTAAGGAAGATTTCTAGTAGCGAATTCTCGAGAGAATTAGAGAAGGGCGAGGAAGCTTGAAACGGGATATAAGCTGCTCGCGATGCGGAAGAGTTTTGAATTATACGGTAAAGCGATCAAAAAAGTTTTGCGAACAGTTAGGTAAACTAACATTAAGTAGGTAGTTTTGTCGCGATTTTTGTGTTGATCGGGGTATCCTTTCCATCTAATCGAACTGAACAGACTAACTAATCTGATTCAACTGAAAGTGATTTTCATTTTTACATAAGTTCGCTAAGTTCTTTCGCACCGAAAGAACAAAAGTCTATATCAGCTGATCTTGACTCACAAACGATCTGAAAGAAGTGATCGTAAAAATTCTGCGATCACTTGGGGCTAGGATTAAATTGATTGCAATCATTTGGTGGGTATGGTGGGGGAAGTGATCCGAAATCGAAAGAACACGATTCAATCAGTTCAGGCAAAGTTAACGTTTAGGTGACTTCAATCAGTTTGTTCAGAACGCAAGAATACTAGGATTATCTTGAAAAAAAAAATTAGTTTGGGAAAGTTTTCTTCCTTATCTACCAACCCACTTACAAAACGATAATTTATGTGCCTAGAGTTTAACATCGACCTATCTATATGCTTTGAAAAAAAATTGTGGAATCTTATATAAAATTACTGATACTTTATCCTAAAACTACTTGTGCCAAGATTGGAAATGATTATTTTTAGAAATCGCTATAGTACCTATATGTTTGTAAACTAATCTAGTGATAGGAGAAAAAGTATACCTGAAACAATACCAACCTCCGCACTGTCCTCCCACAAGCCGAAAATTTGTTATTTTTATCACTCGAAAAACAGTGTATACTAGAATATTATTTTGCATTGCAGTAAAATAGTTCATTCGCAACATAAGTTACCTATCTATACATTCTCAATGTTGGCACCGGTTCAAAAAAATCTTACCTGTAATGTGGCTGGCAAAAACACATTTTATTATATTTGATAAACTATAATCACAATATTGAATTTATGAACCAAATATTAATTGAGCAAAAGCTAAGGAAAAACTATCTAATTTGTTTATTCATTTTACGTATTATGGTTATCTCTCTTCTATGATTAAAAGAGGGTTGTTGGCACTGCACTGCAGCTTGCGCGTGATATCAGGGAAAACTGGGTCGATTCTCTCGAATGCGCCCTCAATGGGCATGCGCTATGCTCTAATAAAGGAAAAATTGTTTAAAGTTCTGATTATAAAAATGAATAAATTATACAACTTCCTACTTAGGTATTATTTCATTAATCTATTTCATTAAAATTTTCGTGTTTTTTTAAATTAATAGAAAAGAAGGTCAGCAATCTATCTTAATTATTGATGTATGTTATGTTCATATTTCCACAATATTTAAATAATTCCAATAACAGAATGTAACGATTTTGTGAAAAATCAGCTAGTTTTTGAAACATAAAATAATTCCACTTTCTGATATTCAATTATTGCAACTTGAGATGTAATGGCATATCAAAGAATTTGCAATTTATCATATTGCATTTTTTTAAGATTTTGCTGATTCTTTTTGAGTAGGTACCTAATATATAGGTACATAAGTAGTTTATTTCCAAATCTTTCAATTTCTAATTCTTTAATTGATTTTTGAACTCATTCTAAAATGATTTGATAGCATATCAGTTCTTACAGGTATAGGTACCTAAGTAATTTATATGTTATTGAGATATAGAATAATCTACGTAGAGGTGTGACTGCAAACTCTCTATATTTCCTATAAATTAATATCATGTCATCGACATAAATTAGTATAAATGTTTCATACAGATATGGATCTTTCTTTCACCTTGTATTCCTTAATGTAGCAGTGTTTTATGAAAAAGATTATTCCAGCATTTTGGAACTAGTTGCAAGACATAAACTAAGGTATATATTGAGTTTTTGTATATTCTTTTGGATCTCTATAAATACAGAAAAATCCAGAGATCTGTACGCCGTACGAAATATGACATTAGATTACCAGCTGATAATGCAGCCAGTAAATGGCAATCAAAGGAAATTCAAAGATAGTCATTAAAGACATTAACAGAAGGCGGAACTAGCCGGAGGGCCTCTGGGCGAGGGATATATTTCGCTTGAAGTGCATTACAATCTAAAAATGTCCGTGGTGTATACAATTCATAAATTTAGATAAACTTGTATCATAGAACATTGTATTTTGACATGTATCTGTACGTACCTGTACCAAGGAAATAAAATGTGTGTATATACTTATAACAACCTCAGGGCATTATAAGTGGGCGTTATAGATCTTAACGCTCGCTGATATTAAGTTTTTAATAATCAAATGAGGGGATATCATTAGCGGCCGTTATGATTTGTAACGCCCGTTTATAATTCACCGAGCTAGGTATAGGTATATTAACTCATTTTGTTTCCGATGTATTATGTATTTTTGATAGTTAAGAAGAAAATTAACAAAATTATCTAGGAATGAGTGAATTATTACCTACCCCTCATATACTGCCTTTTTACAATGCAATCCCTCTGCAGAAGAATGTTAACGAAATGATAAAAATGTTACAATTGCACAAAATAATTTCGAAGGTACTTATTAAATGGTAAATGATCGAAACCGAAAAAAATGAATTACAACAAGCTAGGTTTTTATCATGTTTGCACGTGTCGTCATTTCGATAAATTAGGATTTCATATAAGTATTGCACTAATCAGGCAATAGTTAGCTGCCATAAATTGGTCCTATTATTTTAGTTTATATATTTATAATGAGCAATTATGCTTTTATAAGTTTATAGTTTCGATGAGTAATAAAGAGTATGACCTTATAATTAAAAGCTATGCGGTAAATTATATAGGCTACATCGGAAAAGCTGGCATTTTACGTTTTACTGATCGTAAAATTCAAATTTTTTGTCAGTTGGTCGTCACAATGGGCAAGGGAAGAGTAAATGTATTTCTACTGCCGCTGAGATCGGAGGTAATACTTATAGGTAGTATATTTTATATTTAGGTGAAACATTCTCCGGAATGTGCTATTTTTCCGCAATACCAATACGATTTTTTCCTCGATCGCTTTATAATGAAAAAAAAAAAAAAAAATACAAGGGTTGAAGATAAAAAACGTCGTTAGATAGGTATTTCATATTTTCATATAATATCAATTAAGTTAATAGTTGATGTTCAATATTTAATTTCTAATACAGCAGTTTTATACTTACCTACAAACATACCTTTGAAATGTATGCGGTGTTGTTCCTATAATTCAGAAGTGGGAAAAAGTAGTTTTTCCACTACCTTACTAGAAAACGTCATTTTCTTTTTCCTGCTTCTGGGGCGGCTGTACTGGTGCAGACGGTGTCCACATTTATAGGCTCAAATTTCAATACGTACTATTAGGTATTCTTTCAGAAAAAAAAACTGATAGCAAATTTTTGTTCAGAATGGTCTAAAACCCAAGTGTACTAATTTTTGTTTCAATACAATACAGGGTGATTACAACAAATTTTCAAAATTTAATGAATCAAACCGCAAAAATGTCATATTTGGAGACAAGCGTACTACAAGTTTTGGTTAAGGATGTTCTAAAACTATGTTGTATCGAGTTTTGTTGTTCTCAAGGCCTCAAAATATGACATTTTTGCGGTTTGGTCCAATAAATTTTGTTGTGATCACCGTCTACCGTATTAAAACCAAAATTAGTTCATTTGGGTTTTAGACCATTCCAAACAAGAATTTGCTATCAGATTTTTTCTAAAAAATCCTACGAAAAATGAATGTAATTTCATTAATATTGACCTTGTTTTGAAGGTAAGCAATAAATATTAATTAAATACTTATGTTTTTTATCATCTATGTTGATTTATAACTTTTATATGAATGTTTGTTGTTTTGAGATAATTTAATTCTTCAAAATATTTCAATTATCTGAAAATTATTTATTTATTATTGCTAAATTTTTCCTGTTTCGATTGATTACAGCCTGAAGAAGAAAATAAATTTTTCGAATCGTAGCTAAAAAAACAAAACCACTTGGTTTCATTGGTCCAAATATACCTAAGAACAACAGATTAACGATGATACACCTATAGTAGACCATACCTACCATCTTTCCCACAATAAACGTAAAGTTGCGAGACAAACTGTGGGGGATTTATTACATAGGAAAATAATTCGTGAATAAGATTCTCCTCACTCGAGTCGTATATTGTTGGTGAAGAAAAAGAATGGCGAGCAGCGTATGTGTGTTGACTTCAGCAGGGGCCGATTCTCCGGCCAGGGAGTAGAGCTCCCCGATAGAACAATTTTCCGTCTTTATCATTCTCGTTCACTTTTCGATTACGTTGACAATGACAAAACATCCGTTCTATCGGGGAGCTCTACTCCTTTAGACGAGAATCTGGCCCCACAGGGCACTTAACGCTAAAACTGTTAAAGACCGATTTCGTGGAAGTATAGAAGATTTTTTGGAAAGTTTAAAGGGTTGTCAATATTTCACATGCTTAGAACTGACGAGTGGTTATCACCAGATTGAAATGGGAGACTCATCCATCTCAAAGACCGCTTTTATTACGCTGGATGGTCACTACGAGTACATAAGGTTCCCATTTGGCTTATGTAATGCGCTTGCAATATTTCAGCGAGCTATAAATAAATTTTAGGCATTTTGAGGTATGGAAAGGCTATTGCATACATGTATCATATTTTGTTGCCAAGCAAGGATTTTGATACATGAATGTCAAAACTAAGAGACGTGTTTCGACACAGCCTCCTACACTTAACAAGCCATGAAGTTAAAAAGGCAACACCGCAATCTTACCGCCAAGTGGTGCTGGTGCTGTTTGTTTTTATATGTATATATTTTTTATTTTGTTAACATGAATGACAAAAAATGCATGATTTATTGTACTAAAGGGTCAAAAACAGTAATTCAATGAATAATATAACTATTTGTGTGAATAAGAACAGTAAATAATTGATATAAATGAATATATTTCTAGATTCTAAAGTGTTATAGGCCTATGTAAGAGAAATATAACTTCCATTGAATAATTTTCGACAGTTTCAGTATGTCTTTCGAAAATCTAACGTTTTCTTTCTTCAGGATTTTTTCGGAAGGCAGGTCTATTCAAATACTTGAGCTGATTTTCGATAATAAGAGGTACTTTTAAGAGTTGGACGTTTTAGTTTGAACTCTCGAATTAGTCCTTCATCCTTGTTTGTTTCAAATCTCATTATTTCGGTTTCTTCAAAATGTTTACAACAAATGAAAATGTTTGCATTTCTTCAGTTTTTAAGGAACTCCTATAGTTCGACTTGCACCCAGGAACACAGTAGTTTCATGGCATCTGGAACAAGTTTAAATATCTCTGGTAATATGTCAACACCTATGCTCTTGCACACAAATATTAATATTCTTTTTATTGAAGTAAAAGAAAGACAAAGGTTGTAATGGTGTAGAATTTTAATGGAGTTTTTACCGAGCGCTTTCGACCTAATTACGGGTCATCTTCAGGGTCGGTTCTGAGAGTAAGAAAAAACGTTATACAATATAAATACTAATAAAGAGAAGTCAACTTACTCGTCAAAAATTAGACATACAGATATTGAGCCTCTTGAGGAGAACTTAGGTTAGAATTTAAAATGGGACCAATGAACTATAACCAAAAACTGGAATGCTAACATATAAGGAAGAACGTGAAGCCTAGTGCAGCTGCTGCGGAGGGGATACCTGTTTTTGTCGCACTCATTATGTTAAATGGCGAAAATTGCTTCCAACACGTAATCCAATTGATGAAACCTGTGAAGGAAAATATGACAAAACTTTCGAAAACGTCATATGTCAGCGAGCAACAGAAAAAAAACAACATTCCCCCTTGTGGCATCTGTCTTTCATGGCTTCATTTTTTGGGCAGATATGGCAATGTGCGCGCATTCCAGTTTTTGGCTATAGTTCATTGAATGGGACATATTCTCCAAAATGAGGGGATGCGTAGACGAGTTACAGTACAAAGCTTTGTTATTTGACGAACATATAAGCGTATATAAGACTGGACAAAACGGGCACTATAAGATAAAATACGAAAAATTAACACGTTAAAATCACAATAAAAAAGTATGTCAAACCTTAGACTAAAATCCTT